TCTTTCTCATTGCTATCGAGAGGCATCTGAACTGCTCTTAAATGTTAGGGATATAGATGGAAATCATTCACAGACTGTCGCACAGAGTGCACAGAGGCTGTCTTGTCCCTGGAAACCGGCATTTTAAATCTTCATTTTTAGAATAAATTTCAGATAGTAGCTAAAACAGATTTTTGGAGCTTTTTAAACATGAATATGTTCAATCAATCCCTGTCCTCCTACTGTTGCCATTAGTAGCAACATCAGAGTTAATTTTTTATGGAGAAAAGTCTTAAGAGGAGCACCCAAATATAACCACGACTGGATTTTTCTGTGTTTGTCAGAAAAAATCCCAATCATACCACAAACCTAGACCTACATCCATTAGCATTCAGGGCCTCTCGCTCCTGCTGCTATTCTCTCCTGGAAGGTACCAGGTGGCTTTATCAGCCTGTGGGAATCACAGTGTGAAGCCACTTGGTGTCCCGTGTTTCCCAAAGAGATGGGACCTGCTGTGGGGAGGCAAACCACCGCTCCCCACCCGCCCAGGCAAGCCATCAACCTGAACACACATCTTGGAGCCAAGTCTTGCATCTCTTTTTTTTTTTTTTTTTTCAATTAGACTGATATACTGTTATGCTTTTATTGCAATGCTCGCAGCAACATGCGAGCATAATCATAAAGGCAGTGTAGTTATACAATAAAGTCTTCTGAAAAATCCAGCAGAGATATTTTCCTGTGAAAATGTCGACACAGGACATTTGACCACGGTGAGATTTTTTTGGAACTTTCTACAAAACAAACTTTTGGTAAAACTGAAGCAATCTCATTCATCTGTGTTTTTTTATGAGGCCCCAGTTTTTAGCAACCTAATAAACGCTTCCATCAAAGTTTCTCATGACAAGCTCTAGTTAAACACAGGTCATTCCTGTGTCTGTACAAAGACCAAACTCTGACTTAGGTTTTTCAGGGATGACTGTGTTATAGCCATGCAACCCAGAGGCTCTGCTTCTGTAAACTGGATGGGGGTCATCTCTCGTTGTGTGCTCCATCTCTATCCAAGGGGATAAATCTTGCCTGAGATTTTGATCTGAATCTTCCTGATGGTTATCACTGGTTATTTAAAATTTTCACCTCCCGGCAGCTCAACAAAGCAGCAAACTTTACATCTTTCTTATTTAACTCTCCTAATGAGTTAAGACATTTTTTTCTTCCATCTGGAGGGGGAAAAAAGCTAATTAAACCATTTGGGAGTGATCTGGGAGCACAGATACAAACAAACAGTAAAAATTCACGTACTTGATTTCCAATCATTATGTCAATGTCATATGCAGCCAGTTCTCCTTACAATCTTGATCAAACGCAAACATGAGGCACAACATCGTTCTCCCCTGTTCTAACAAATCCCCTTCTGTGCTCAGCAACTTTGAGCTATAAGTTTACTTCTGCAGGATGTCACATTCATCTTTATTTTCACATAATAAAGTGCACAGCCCATCTGTTGTTATTGATTGATTTATATTAGCAAGACAAAAGACCTGATTAATGGTGCTGCTAAACTGGTTTCACTCCTGCAATTCATTCATATTAAGAAAATAAATTTTTAAAAGCCATTTTAATTCTATAAACTTAATTTGGAATTTTTATTTTCATTGCTGGCCCAAATACAGAAACAGTCTTTTATTTGCCTTCTGTAGTACCTGACAACTATATATCTTTTTTAAAGGCAAGTCAAATGCAAAATCTATAGGAACAGCTGAAAAGCCACTGGAACCAGCATTGGTAGAAGCTGGCATGGACTGGCACACAGAGGAATTTTAGTTTAAATTTAGTTCAATGTTCTTTAAAACAAATCTTTGCCTCAGTCAAGAACTTTTTGATGTTAGAGAAGGTCTTTATTATTTTCATGCATTTGTTTGTAAAACTGTACATATTATAGCTCTTCACGCATAACAAGTGAAAAAGGAGATTTTATGGCATACTTCCCTTTTTACGGACTAGTATCCCCTCTCTAATCTGTGGCAGGAAAATATTGTGCTCTGTACACCAATCTATTCATCTCTAGATCACTAGTTTTATTACTATATATCAACCTTTAATTCTCATCAACCCAGCCTATAACTCACTATATTCCTGAACTGCGAGACTTAAACTATTATCGCTTAGATCATAATATATTGGACCATTATCTCTTTGTGCAAGACCTGAAGCAAATTCTCCTCAAACGGAATTTACTTCAGAATGATTCAAGAGCCATTTAAAATGAATGGCTGCAAAGCTAATACCATTTGCATTTGGATGCCCATCACTGGGCAAGATCATTCACCACACCTTGCAAGAAAGGCAGCTGGAGTTAACTGGAGGGATGGGATTTCTGTTCCGTTTCTTAATGTTATGATTAAAAAGCTTTCTAGAGCAACAAGTGTTGTTTACAGGGAAATTAACAGCAGGTGCTAGCTCAGTAAAACAGCTTCGCAGGATGGAGGTGAGGGTTTGAGTTACAGCGCACACATTTTCAGGACAGGAAAACTGCTCAGGTGGAAGTCCTTTGGTCGCAGGGCTTTCTGTCCTGGCAACGACATGCGGTATCACGGTGCCATCAAATGGGAAGCAAGGAAGAAAAAAATCCTGTATGCTATAGAGCTTGCCTCTACCTTAGAGCCCCATCACACCGACAGAGCTATGAATCCACAATCTGGCCAAGTTGAATGAGAAATGGGAGAAAACAGGACTTTTTCTAAGAATTACTAGTTTCCACGTCACAGGGCACTCTTGACCCTGCCACAGCCCTGGAGAACCCACAGGGACAGGGAATGGGCACAACAAA